GGGGGGGGGAGAAGAAGAAGAAGCTGAAACATGGAATTTATAAACTGTTCTAGAAGTGTTTGAGAAGTATATCGTCTGAGGAAATTCAGTGTCATCATGTCTTGCAAAAAAATATCTTCTTACTTAGATTCTGTGTTTTTTTTATTCCAGTTTTGTCTGTGAATCTTTTTCTTACTGAATCTTATTTTTTAAATTTTCTGCTTACTTCAAAAGTGTCTTGATTGTGAAAAGTAAAATACTCCCCTACTTGGAGATACAAGTTTGGAACAAAAGTATCGTGAACTGAAACTAAAACTTGCTGAGTAATGACCTCTATAAAGGCAAACCCATAGTGAGGAACTTCAAGAAAAGCTGATTTTTTTTTTCTCACTATGCAACGTTGCAGCTTATGCGTGAAGTTTGGGGCTTCTCTCTTTAAAAAGTAGGTGATCTTGTTTCATTGTTCAGTGAGAACAAAGTGAATATGAAGACATTTAACAGAAGAAGCCCCTACACTGCTTTTGTCCCTTTGATTACCCAATGGTTGCTGTGCTGAGAAAAGCAGTGAGAGCTCGGTCAAGTCCGGGTCGGTTCACCTGGAGCTGTGCCAATACAGCATGTAAGAACTTGAACTGAGTTTTGTAGCTGTCATACACCCAACACTACCTGCTCTTTCCATTCCTTATCTTGATCTTCGACTATCCCCTCCTGAGCACTAAACACAGTGTCACTGGGGCTGGCGTGTTTTATTGATTCCAGTTTTTGTTTGATTATGGAGGTGCTGTCAGTATTGTCAGGCTCGACTCTTAGTGACTTACTGTGGTGGTGTGTCCTGACATGTCCTTTCAGTTTTTGCAAAATTTTCTGAAATGGTTTGTGGACTTTACTAGTTTTGTCAATTTATCGCAGTATCAAGTTGCTGAATTAGCATCTCGGCACTTCTTCTGGAATGAAATGTGCACTGTTTTGTCACGGCGCTTAAAACAATAGAAGTAATGTTACTTTAATGGCTCAAAATTGTACTCTTCATCATATATATAGCAAATTAACTGAATGTGTACCATAATTGCAAGTGCTTGCTTAAAAAAAAAAAGTCACTTTTACACAGTCACAAATTCAGAAGGAAATGTTATTTTTTTATTTCTATTGTGAGATGTGATATGTGACTTCACTAAGGTACACTTTTTCCTAGTCTTCTTGGGTATAATGGTTTCTCTCATCAACTTTTCTTGTTGTAGCTTCTTCTCTATGTGAGACCATTTCAAGTACAAATCACAAGAAAAGTTTAAACTATACCATTCTATTTTAGTGGCTGCGGTAGCTTAGTGGTTAGGCCACTGGAACTGTAGGGATGAGAATGCGGGTTCACGGGTCTTAGCCTCAGCTTGGTCTGGCGTTGTGTCCTTAGCAAAGGCACCATACACACGAATTTCTTATTTGGTTCGGTCTTTCGGAGATGAATGGATGCTACTTAAACTCCGAGGTCATGCTTCTTTTTTAAGTGTAACCTAATAGTGTTGATGAAGGTGTGAAACCGTACCATTTTCATAATTCTTTATTTTGTGCCAAAGTAAAAAGAGATTGGGAGGTGGGATTGTTTACAGTGGAAAGTGGGTTTCTGATAATAAAATGAGAACTTGAAATTCCTTTAGGACAACAGGAAAGACAAGACTATCATTGCTTTTATGACGAAGAGTTGCCCTATATTATACTATATATTCTGAAATCTTCTAGTTCTCAAAATTGTCTGTTGATTGCTAACATAGTGAATGATAATGTGGCTTCTGCAATTGACACCACATTGTGGACGGTCCTTTTTTTACAATATCTAAAGTAAATTAAAGTGGCTAAGATTTCACTCCTTCCTGTTGTTGAAGTTCTTTAGAATGTAATGAGGATGATCGTTAGGAATGGGAACAGCTGTTTTGTTTTCTTGATTGTCTTTTATTATTGAAAAAGTTCAGTAAGTAATAACCTAACATTATGATATCATGAATATGTGCAATGCTTTCATTTGATACGTTTATTTGATCCCCTTATTTTCAATTTTACTTTTTGCTTCATATAATACATAGTTGATATGGTTTCTGATATTGAATAGACAGACAGTATTTTATTGATTGATTTTATGTGATCTTGTTGAAATTAACATCCATATTTTTTATAATGATATAATGACACTTCTTATGAACGAGAAATGTATCTTAGAAAGTTTTTTTTTTTTCATACTTTAACATTTTAATGGGCCGTTGAAAAAAAAAAGGAGGGGGCGCATATTTTAAGAGCATTCCACCTCTCTTGTTGCTCATTTTTCTTTGAAATGGGGGGGAGGGGGGCATTTTTTCCCCTTTATCTGTGAAATTGTCCTTGTTCCTGCTTACTGACAGGTCATTAAGGCATCTCTTAATAGTTTACTTTTTGTACTGTCTCCGTTGTATTTGGCTGTTTCGTTTTGTGAAGCAGGGCAAATGTCTTGACTATTTGTTTTGGTACATAAACATGCTCACATAATTTCATATATATATAAGATATGTATACTCACACATACACATCTCTCTCTAAAATTTTCTCTTTCTCTCATTGTCTCCCTCTCTTTCTCTCTCTCTCTCTCTCTCTCTTCCTCTCCCCCCGCCTTGCTCTCTGTCTGTCTGTCTGTCCGTCTGTCTCTCTGTCTGTCTGTCTGT